TCTTTTTTGATTAGTATAGTTTATATAAATACGTTTAACAAGAAAATTAAAAATATTTGCATATGCAAATTGTAAGTTTTACAGTGTAATTAAAAAAACCGTGAAATTTATCATATTTTTTCCTACTAAGATTTTCTATACAGTTTCTATACGTACAGTATTTCTTTTTTAGAAATTTATTGGTAAACTACCATAAGTTACTATTTGTTTTAATGCTACGTAGACAAATTAATAATTATTTGGTAACGGTAATTTAATTAAATTTTACGGGTAACTTACCAGTAATTAAATAACCATTAGCAACCTCGTTGACTTTACCTACGTACGTAATCACATTACGTACTCGTACTAACCCAAATAAATCACTAATCTGGTCACATATGCCAATATATATAGAAAAATATACATTTTAAAATTTTACTATTTATTTTTGTTTGTGTTCAAAAATAGCCCTACGAACTAAATAAAGTTTTTGGTTGGCGTAATTCAAAACAATAATAACAATATTAAAAACGTAAAAAAATTGAAAGTTTTGCCCAATTACTGTAAAGTACATGCATATATCTAAAAAAAATTCTAGGTTAGGTTATATGTTGTGCCTCAGACTAATGCTTTGCGTGAGAGTGCAGCAGACAATAATTGCCTAAACTATACCCTGATATTCATCCTAACCCTGATGCCTAAGAAATTTTTCGATCAACGTACGCATGTAATAGGCTATGAATTAGAACTAAGCCCATCTCGTATCCAAAGTCTAATAGAATTGTATTTTTAATGTTAATTTGCCAAGATGTAGGTCTTTACTATCCTTTGAAAAAGAAATCGAAATATATATTCTGTTTTACAAAACAAGTCACGTGAACAAATCAATTGATCATCCGGTGGCTGTGTATTACGTTTATTGCATAATAGTAATAATATAATATTAAATGATATAAAAAAATATAAAAAGTCCATTGATTTTCGTTCATGATTTTTAGCCAGTGTAACTCGCTTTTTCCGGTCGGGATGTTTTAGAAAAAATTTTTTTTTATTTAACGTTGGCTTTGAATTTAAAAATACTAGTGATAATATTTATTAAAAGATAAATACGTGCTGCGATAATATAAATAAATAATATATATATATATACCAATATAGACATTTTTTAAAATTATTGTTAATAAAATGGCAGGCCAAAATCAAAATATAAATCTTTCGACCACCGATGACCCACAAAAAAATCATCCTCAAAATACACAAGATACACAACTGAATCCTCTACAAAATCCTCAAGATACACCATTGTATACCTCTCATAATGTTTGGGCGAATAATCCTCAGTTAACTTATACTCCATCGCATGAGCAATATGGGCAATATAATACTCAATATCAACAACCTCAACAACAATTAAACGCTTATGATAATAATCAATTTTATCAACCTACTGGGGCTGGTCATACACAGACACCAAGTGGTGGTAGTGGTGGTAGTGGTGTTTCTAATACTTATGACCCAAATTATAATCAAAGTGCAAATTTCAATCAGAATTATAATAATGCATATGATCATAATTACAACCAATATCAAACTCAAAATTTCAACACTTATAATAGTAATTCAACAAATCCATTTGATGGGGATTATGGTAATACCGGTACTAATGTGAATACTTATGGTAATACTGGTGGTAACTTGAATACGTATAATACTTATAGCACCGGTGCTGGTACGAATACTTATTCAAATGCTTACAGTAATGTCGACAATGCAACTAATACTTATAGCACTGGACCTGGAACAAATACTTATAGCACTGGACCTGGAATAAATACTTATAGCACTGGACCTGGAACAAATGCTTATAACACTGGTCCTGAAACGAATGCTTACAGTAATACTGGTGGTAATGAGAATACGTATAATAGTAGTACCTTAACAAACTCTGAACCTATTGAAAATAAAGAAGATAATAATGTATCGGTAAATCTTGCATCCGCTGTGAATCCTGGAATTGAGACTTCTGACCCTTCAAAGTTACAACCCATTGATGAAGAAAAGAAGCATATACCCAGCGGAAAAAGATTTTTTTTCAGGTTGTCTATTCTTATTTCTAGTGCTGGAGCTCTTGCATTTATTATTGGCGCACCATTGGTAAATATTAGAAAATTTTTATAAAATTTTTATTATAATATTCTTCATTTTTGCTTACTATTATTATTTTTACTATAGATTTCAAAACGGGATCCACTTGGGGATGCAAATCATTATGCAGTTATATTTTTATATATTGTATCAGGACTTTCTATAATACTTTCTCTCTATTTTCTTGGAAATTATTGTACTCGCCGTTGGGGTAAAGCTCAGAAAATTCCAAGACTTTCATTACATTTGCTTGATTTTATATTTGCTGCAGCCTTCGGTGTTTTGATGGTTTTCTTGATTAAAGATTATACATGCCCTATTGGTGGCCTTAATGGATGGTAAGTTGTTTTTTTTGTGTTTTTTATTACTGTAGTTTTACTTGAAATTTATTTATTATATTTACTAATTTTTCATATTCATATTTCTAGGTGTAACTTTTACAATACTAGTATTTTCTTTACAGTATTAAGTTGTTTCTTGTATACAATATCTCTGATATGGGATTTTGTCGGTACTTGTTATTGTTGTGGTAGAAGTAAATGATTCCTTTAAGTCCTTCATTTGTTCATAAATATTATATTTAATCATTATTATTATAAGATTTATTTTCAAATATATAAATTATTTAACTAGTATTTTTATTTATTCTTATGAAAAAAAACATATTGGCATCGGTTCAGGTGACTGGTCAGAGCCGATACTAAGTGTTTTTTGCGTATCAAATTTCTGGATTGGCGCAGAAATTCATCAATTTTTCTTTAAAAAAAATTTCGTGAAATTCGGACTATATTAAATTTGTACACGACCGATGAGTTCACTAAAACTTTTCAAAAAAAAAAG